CAAACAAGCCTCCAAGGCTAACTCCCAACACACAAGCTTGTGTAATCATGCCTATATATATTTGTATGCACTTGGAGAAAGATGTGTGGATACATTATTAACATTGTTTTCCTCAGTTTAGGTATGATGGAGTAAAACTGAGCAGGAAGGGGAGATGAAGCACTGTTTTAAAAGTGCCACCCAAATGGTGGCCAAAATTAACAACGTGATCCTGAGCAAATCTAATTTTTTATTTCCCAGGTATATTAGTCTTACTAACTGCAAGTAATTCTCTCTCTCTCTTTCGCTCTCTTCCCACCCCCCTTCCAGTTATGTAATAATAAAAATATAATAAGGTTCATCTCCCCTCAGTTCTTTCAAAATAGTGTCTTTGGTTTCAAGCATGCATAAGTACCCCAGCCTCCTATTAGGAAGCAATATAGCTTGGTGCTCGAGATAATTGATTTTTAATGTCTGGGAGCTGTGGGTTATATTTTTATTCTTAACTTAAGAATTGCACATTTTAGCTAATGTCTCAGTGTGTTTTGTGCTTCTATAACAAAATACCTTAGACTGGGTGGTTTGTAAACGTTGATTTATTGGCTCACAGTTCTGGAGACTGGGAAGTGTAATGTCAAGTTGCCAGCAAGTTTGGTAGACCATTCTCTTCGCCCAGGATGGTGACTTGCGTGCTGCATCCTCTGGAAAGGAAGAAGGCTGAAACCTCACAGGACAGAAGGCAAAAGGTTAAGAGGCAAAAGGGGGGTAGCACTAGTCCTTTAATAACAGTAATAAGTCCACCCATGAGGGCTCTGCCTCTTAATCACCCATTTAAAGTCCTACAACTTAATACTGTTACAATTGATGGGAATTAAATTTCAACATGAATTTTAGAGGGGAAAGACATTCAAACTATAGCAAACTGGATTCTTAAATTCTCTAAGCCTGTTTCATAAACAATAGAGGGCAACAAAACTAATACCTTTTCCCTGGAATTTTTGTGAAGAAAAAAGAATATAAAATACACGGTTACAATGGATACCCAATTAAGTTTAGCCATGATTACAACGACTGCCTCCTGTTCCCACTTAGTTAAATTCAGGTCCTTCCAGTCATGAGCACACTGCTGCATAAAATGTTCTGCTTGATTTTCACCACTAATGCTCTTATTCTTGTATGCAGATGTTAAATGTCTACTTCTCTACCTGCTATTTTCTTTAAGAAAATTATCTCAATATGACTGTAAGGCAACTTTTTTTTTCATGTAAATATAATGAAAGCTTACTCATGTAGCTAAACATCAGCTCATCAAGGAAGAAAAAGCAGGGAGCCACGAGGCAATTAGCAGATGGAAATTAGCCCTGTGTCATTACTTGTGACAGACACTTTAAGTTTGTTTCTAGACAAAGTTTGTTTCTGAGGAAAGTTATTCTCTATGGGTGGACTTGATGTTGGGCTCACCGATCTCATGCAGTCAAGATTATCTGTGAGTTGGGTCTTGAGAAGGGGATTTCCTAGGGAGCTGCATTTTCTCTTGTTTTTAGGTGCCGATCTTCAAACTACAGTGTAAGGCAAACCTGTTCTACTGTGCCTGTCTTGATTTTAAGGCTATTTGTCTAAGTGGGACAAGTTTATATTTATATTTATTTAATGTATGCAACTTAATGACTTTGTAGATAAGTGTTCACATGTGAAACCATTACCATAAGTTGAGAAATTTATGAAGCCAGGAATGAAAGTGAGAAATGAGTTGCAGGAAGGTGAGTTGGACTAAGACATATTTCTGATCTCCATTTCTTTGGTTCTACCAAATTCACAACTGACATTTTGATGGGTGTAAGAGGCAGTGGCAAATGAATCATATATTTAGCCAACAGATATTTGTTATGTGCCGACTACATGCCAGTCAATGCGCAAGCCTTTAGGATACAAACAGGAATCAACATGACAGGACCCCTAACCTTAGTAAGCTCAAAACTAGGAGCAAAAGGGTCTATAGTTTCTAGAATGCTCTTTATATGGCAGGCACAGTATGTGGCAAATTAAATATATTATCTCATCTTAAATCATTCTTTCAATTTTATAGATGTGGAGCTTCATTTAGCACAGAGCGTATCTGAGGTCCTACAGCTAGAAAAAACAAACTTGGGTTTTGAATCCGATCAAACACATTCTAAAGCCTTATTTTCCTTTCACATAATCAAGCTGTCAGATGATGCAAGGCAAAAGAGTATAATATATAGATTTCAGCACAGAAGAGGGAATACAATGTCACTTCGCATAAGTGGTGACTCCTCCCAGGTATCATTTTTTAATGATATACATTGCATGACTCTTCCTAATTAATTCTGTCTGCAAGACTTTTTAACCTTATCTGTAGCTGTCTTCTGCTGCTGATCTACTTTGGGCTGGTTTGAGGTGACTAGGTATGCCCTTCTTACTAACTTGCTTCTTAAACATTTCTTTTTCAACCACTTTATTGAGGTATAATTGGCAAAAAAAAAAAAGCTATATATATTTAATGTACGCAACTTAATGACTTTGTAGATAAATGTGCACATGTGAAACCATTACCAGTTTATTCCATAAACATATGTATCTAGACATCTGTTCTATATTCCTGTTAGATGACAGCAGGTTTATAAATCAGTTGATAGAAATACAGCATATTGTAGGTGTTAAGTCTGTTCCTCAACTTTGAGAACATTGGTGACAGGTGAAGTATAAATATAGCTCTTCTTTTGGCTCTTTGTGCTAGAAGAAGCAGCAGCTTTTAAGAGAAAATTATAAATCAGAGTAGTCAAGAAATAACATACTTAATCATGAAAGAAATGAAAATTAACACAAAAAATGTCTCCCAAGGGATATGAGGGTATCCTGGGTATAAGAATCCTAACAGGAATCCTCATTTTTAACAACGTTTAAAGTAATGGATTTTTCACAACTTGCATTTTCTCAGTATTTGAAATTGCATAGATGTAACTTAATAATGAACCAGAACTTATAAATTCAATCTTAAACATTTTTTAAACTACTTTGTTGAGGTATAGTTGGCATAAAAAGTTATACATATTTAATGTATGCAACTTAATGACTTTGTAGATAAGTGTACATATGTGAAACCATTGCCACGGTTTATGCCATAAACATATGCATTATTAGGAAAAGTTTCCTCCTGCCCTTTTTATTTATTATTATTATTTTTGTATTATATGACACAAGCTTTACCTTCTTAGCTAATTTTAAATATACAATACATTATTGTTGTCTATAGGTACTATGCTGTACAGTAGAGCTCTAGGACTTATTCAATGCATTTACAGTTACAAGAAATGTAAATTCATATCATACCAGGAATTACAATTACAATCTTAGCCAAAATAGTTTTACAGTGTTTCAATGGTTTTTATAATGAATAATCTATATGAGGTAACCTCTACTTAATCAGTGTTAATAGCACAGATTGCCTCGACCTGATGGGCTCCGGCGATCCTTCCGCCTCAGCCTTCCAAGTAGCCGGAATGACAGGCATGTGCTATCACGCCAGGCTGATTTTTTGATTTATTGTAGAGATGAGGTCTTGCTGCCCAGGCTGGTCTCGAACCCGCGGGCTCAGGCAATCCACTCACCTCAGCCTCCCAAAGGCGCGGGATTACAGGCTGAGCCACCGAGCCTGGCTAGCTTTTTTATCTTAATGAATAATTTTATCTTTGAAAGAAAAAGAAAAGAATAAACTTACTTCTTGAATCCACGGATATGTAACTTTTGTTTGTCTTGAATGAGAACCCAGTAAACTTTGTTAATTTGAACAATGAAAATAATTGTCTGTATTTAAAAAGTTATACTTGAATGTATTTTGCTTGTAATTCTGAGTCTTCTCAAACAGGTGCTTCTTTGTTCTAGAGTTTCTGAAATTAGCTTATAATTTTAGGTGTTTAGAGAATAGCAAGCTAATGTATGGTGTGTGTGTGAAGTTTCAAAAAAATGTCAACGTATTCTGAAAAGCAACTAGCTTTGAACTTAGATCATTCTTTTCTGCCTATACCTAAGTATACAATTATATGAGGAGAAAATAAAAACTATATATCCTTTGCCATTATTCTGATTTCAGCAATTTTGTTTTGTAAAAACTTTTAAACTCTAGATTTACAATGTTTACCATCTAGTGCAGATAAACTGACAAACTGTATTTCAGGAAAGTTCTAAAGAATAAAAGATAATGGTTCTGATGTTTTAATGTCTTCAAACAATTTATTAGGACTTTTCTGAAGGAAATCAAATTTCAATCATAAGAGAATAAATTTGTCTTATATAATACTCATATTATAAAATCGATAATCTCAATATTATTAATTTAAATAAATGATAAAATGTAAATATTAAATGTGTGTGCTACTTCACCTAGATTACAGGTTATCTAAATTTTAAAGATTAATAAAATTATTTATTTTCATAGGAATGTGGGAGAAGAATTATTTTGCATATTCAGTTTGATACTTAACTGGTACATAGTGTTACAGATAAGTATTTGCTAAAGTACTAAAATATTTCCAAATGATTGATACAGTTCTGCAGTCCCAGGCACCAGGGTCCTTACCCTTACCTAAACCTAAACCCAAACCTAAACCCCTATCGCAACAGGAGTCTCTTGGACTTTGTTCTAGCATTGTGACCTGTGTCCATTCTGGTTGTCTAATACTTAAACAGCACCCTAGTACACATGTAAATATATAATAATAAAGCAAGAAAAGAGTCTTTATTTAGAGAGAGAAGCAATTCAGTGAAATTAATAATTGTTCCAGGGGCCAATTGTTCCCCTAGGTTTCCAGAAATACTTTAAAGACTGAATAATAAAGATCAGAAGGCATTAGACAACAAAGTGGAGAATGATCTGTGAAACAAATGTATTTGCCTGAGAGTTTAAAAACAGTCATAGTTTTTGGCTCTGATACTGTAGCTTCCTCCTTTCTCACATGGGCTCAAATACATGTTTCTTACTTTGTGAATTTGGAAGAAGCATATTAATCCATACCTTCAATCTTCACTTTATGGGGTGTATTCTCACAAATCTAAGAAATTTCAGCACCACAGTGAGAAATAGAAATATTTCATTTTTGAAAATAAGCACATCCTTTGGATTCATTGATCTGGACAAGTCCTGTAGTACTAAATCTGAAAATTAATTGATTTAAAATAATTATAAATTCTGTATTTGAAATCTGATCACCTATCAATGATCTCAGTTGCCCTTAAAGTCAATATCATGCATCTGAATATTGAGAGACTTCTGCCTCCACAAAGCATCAAAGTCCCTAATGCTGGTAAATCTGAGTCATTTACTTTAAATTAGCCCTGATCCCAAGTAAAATTACTTAAGAGAAATACTTAAATCCATTAAAATGGAATTCCATCAATAGGTTATAGTTACTACTCAGTCTAGCTGACATTAAAAGTGCTTGAATTTCTTCACTTTGAATCTTTATGAAGAAAGCAAAAAAATTTTAAAAATTATTAATAAAAAGTTATTATATTTCGCTATGCACAAATAAAATATTTTATATATTTATACATATGTGGGGAGTAAAGAGAACAAGCAAAGGTTAAAAGAGCAGAGGAGATGTTAGTGTCATTTCTCAAGTTAACTTTCTTGATTTCAAATACCCTGGAGGTGAATACTGTGTCAGTTGACTACTCTGTATACACTATATGTAACAACATTCTGTAAATTGTAAATTCTCAGGATGTGTTTCCACTTACTGTTTGTCCACAACTCCCTACCCTGTCCATCTCCAACTGCCCAATGATGGATCAGAATCAATAGAATGTTCTTTTGAGGCTGTGGTGCTGGGAAGTGGAGCTTCCATTGTTAAGTGGAGATGGGTCAACTCCCTCCATCTACTTGCTAAGGTATACAGGTCACTCTTCCTTTTTGTATTTCTTTCCCATTTATAGAAGTCAGGCTGTGGCTGCTACTTAGTTTTCTCTACACTAGAAAGGTCTATGGGAACAGATTAAGTTAGTCTTACAGATAAATTAAATGATATACCCTTCCTTGAATATATCTCCTTTGCTCTGTATTTCTCACCAATTGGAATGATAAACGAATGTGTGTCTAGGCAAAAAAGAGGCTCTTTATTGTAACCAATAACTGGAAAAATAAGTCTTCTTTATATTCTATTTTAGCTTATCAAGATAAAACACAAATTTAGAACAAAATTCTAATTATAATAAGGTATGTCTCTTGCTGGTTTATCTTGAAGCTATGAAGAAAGGCAGAGAGATGAGGCAGCAGAAAATTATTAGACTCAGGATGCCAGCACCTATCTATAATCTAACCAGAATTTACATAGTTTAAAATTATGTTTCTTAGTCACCTTTCTTGGGTTGGATGCAACTACACTTACATATAATCCCCAAGTTCACCAACCCAGTCAGCAGCATCAGGCAAAGATTAGCAGACTCAGAGCAGCGTGATATCACACAGGAGAGAGAGCTGGATTCCCTGAAGAAAGCCAGCAGAGGAAGGAGCAAATAGAACTGCTTTGTGCTTGCTACACTTTGGGTTGCTTATTGCTTCCATGAAGGAAGCGTCTAGATACTAAATTTCTCTCTTGCTTTTTCAAACCCCTTATTTAGAAAATGCCAAACAAGATATACAATGAGGATTTCACTATCAGGTCTCCTTCATTTCTTTCCTACTTTCTTTTCCTTTAAGAGTAAGTTTGAGCCGGGGGTCCTGAGCCTTTGGGAAGCTGAGGTGAGTGGATTGCCTGAGCCCGCGGGTTCGAGACCCGCCTGGACAGCGAGACCTCCTCTCTACAATAAATCAAAAAATCAACCGTGCATGGTATCACATGCCTGTAATTCCAGCTACTCGAAAGGCTGCGGTGGCCGGGAGCAGCCACTGCACTCCAGTCTGGGTGACAGAGTGAGACTCCAACTCAAAAAAAAAAAAAAAAAAAAAGAGTAAGTTTGTCCTAATTTTAAAGTTTTTGTTTTATATCATTAATCATCTTTCTTCTTCAAGTTTATTGAATTCATAAATGAGAGGCTATGAAAACTGCTTCTCTTGATGATGCTGGTTATAGGTGACTCAAGATTTTGAGATTACAGGTCTCCATAAGGCAGTGGTCTATCTGCCTTATAAGAGAGAATTCTTTTTTAAAAATTTTTAAAAAAATTTTTAAAAAATTTTTAATAGATAAAAATTACCATCTGTTATCTATGCTACTTTTTTACATAATAAATAATGAATTAATAATAAATGAAAAAGTGAATGAGTGCAGTCTAAGCTACATACAGCAGAATATACCAGGAAGCCAGTGGATAACTCCATAAACATCAGCATCCTACCTGTATTTTTTAAAAATAAAAATCGTTCTTATAGTTCCCTCACCTTTCAATTCCTTGATTTGGCTCCAAATAGCATTTAGCCCACTGTTATACATACATTAATTCAATCTCTAGGTGCACTATAACATACACCGTATTCACCTCCCTTTCCCTCAGAGGATAGAGTTAGAATTACAAAATTAAACAAAACAAGCCAAAAATGTGTAACCACCTTTAGTAGACCCATGCAAACTCTATTCTCATGTCTCTTTGTATATCCTCCCCACATATGACAAATCACACATACAATAAAAATAAATCTTGAGAGCAGGAAGCAGCTCACATGATCCAGGACAACCTGAATTGTTGACAAATCTCCTGAAAGTAAGGAATGCAGTTGTATATATTAAATTAACTTCTTGGACACGGAGACTGGTATTTTTTTCAAATGGGTGTAGGGAATAAGCTGAAGACAAGAAATGAGCCTGGACTTCACCATATACCAGTATTATGAATTTGGTTAAATCCATTAATTTCTTTCAACCTCGGGGATAAAATACAAATATTATATTATTCTAATATTATTGTAAATTTGATTTACAATTATATTTTGACAAAAATATAATTTATGTGAAATTCTATATAGATATTGTTATTATTGATTCCATATTACAAATTATACTTGGTACTTCAACCACCCCTAAATGTTTAAAATACATTTATAAAAAAGAAAGTAGCTTTTGTCCATTTCTGATTAAATCATCCTCCAATTTTTCTCTTCAGTTACTCACACCATGTGAAAGAAAAATTTCCTCCACTTTCTCTATTTTAGGGGCATCCAGTTTGCTTCCTAAAATAATATTCCCCGGCTTCTCTCACAAAGGATAAATATCAAGGATTGTATTTATAAAAAGAAATCTCTTACTCCCTAAACTAAATCTCTGGTATGTCCAGTCAAAATTTTTCAGTACAACACAGAGCTTCATAAAATGCAGCGATATTACAGTACTCACTGTGTTTCTGAAAGCCACATATTTTCTACTCAAATATTGGAAACACTCTACTACTATATACCAAACGACGATTTGTCTCCATTTTAGAAACTCCACAGAACACCTCTTTTTAGCATCAGTATCAAAGCCAGAACCTTAAAGCATTTGACACCTATGTATTCCCCCAAGGACAGATGTGATGAGAGAGTGATGTGACCACATATAAGGTCAGAAAGGTGACAACGTCTTTGGCTGAAGATGGAGGGAACCCAGGAGCCAAGGAATTTTGGCTAGAGGATGCGAAGGTAATACGGAAACAGATTATTTCATAGAATCTTTAGAAAGAAATATGTTCCTGCCAACAGCCTTGATCTTAGCCCAGTGATATCTATGTGAGACTTTTAATCTGCAGAGCTGAAAGGTAATATATTTATGGTAATGTACTACAGCAGCAAGAACTCAAGAAAATATTTAGGGGTTACAGATGAGCAAAAGAACTAAGGAATCTCCTCTAAAACCCTCCTTTGGGGTAAAGCGTAAGAAAATTCACTGATCGTGCCACTTTTTCATTGTTATCAATACTTCATGTTTCATTGCCTGATATAGTCCATTTACCAGAGTCAACTATGATAATCATTTTTTTATTTGGGCTAAGGCAGAAAGAATCTCCTTTAAAGCCCTCCTTTAGGGTAAGGGAAATCTCATTTATAGTCAAGTTTAATAGCTATTAATTTCTTCTCCTTGCCCCATTACCAACACCACATCTCTCTGGCACAGACCACATTTGAATTTCTTATAATAGCATCCAGGTGTGTAAGATGAAGTTCTGTTCTTAGGGGGAGAATTTGTACAGGTTTTTTGTTTTCACATGATTGAGTGATTTATAGTCCACCTTTGTGTGAAGATTCTCTTAGTCAAAGGTCTCCACAACGACACACACCTACCTCAGAGGTGTAAAGGAGGGGCAGAAAAGCAATGCAATACTATACTCTTGAGTAACATTTATGTATGATCTCTAAACACATAAATAAACATATATTTGTTTTTTTTCAAACGGATGAAGTGCTTGATCAAAAGAACAATGTCTAAAGGATCTACGTCATATATAAACAAAAATTCACTATAAACATGTGCAAATAAATACTCCATCTATGCTGACGTTTACTAATTTAGGTAAATGAGGAAAAGTCAAATAAGTGACACAAAAATAAGAAATTAAAGAGGTTTTTATATCTCTGTTCTGGTCTTTCACTTTCATCATACTTTGCAAAGGCTGAGTTTCTGTTCTCAATTTCCTGATTCTTTCACATATTTTGAAGTTGTCGAAGAAATTCTTTAACCTCTTTCTGTCTTTCATGAAATAATGCTCAAGTAAAACAATGATTTTAAAAATTCTCAGGATTAATCTAAGAGGAAGATTAATTATAGCTCTTACATACTTGCCACTATTTGAACCTAAAAGGCTATAACATCTAAAATTAGTGTATGATTTTATTAATTTATGTTACTGTACTTACTTTTTCTTCCTTAAAAACTTCCAGCATCTCTATAGCTCATTTCATTAGTTACATTATGAAAAAAAAAAAAAAAACCACCTTGTTGCAGGCATCTACCAAATTCTAGGACATTCTTCTACCATTTTTTCAACTATCATTAATCTTCTTTACATGTAGTCTTATCATAATTATCAATGATTTCAATACCCCGAGTTCTCTGTTCTTGAATTTACCTTCCATAATTGTCCACATCCACAAATCAGCCACTCACTACATAATCATACTTTGGAGCTCTGCTGCTCCTATAGTAGTTGCTAAGCACATATAGTTATTTAAACTTAAATTAATTAAA